TACGGCCAGGAGCCCCTAGTAGCGTCCTTGCTCCTAGTAGTACGGCCCCGAGCCCCTAGTAGCGTCCTTGCTCCTAGTAGTACTGCCAGGAGCCCCTAGTAGCGTCCTTGCTCCTAGTAGTACGGCCAGGAGCCCCTAGTAGCGTTCTGACTCCCTTTGAGGAGTTGCCGAGGTGCCAGGGCCTTTTTTCGGCCTGGCGCCAGGCTTTTCTTATGCACGAGTGAGTGAAGTGAAGTCAGCACACATGGCCAGGTCTTTGGGAGGTGTTTTTACATGTTTTTACCAAATGGTGGGGACAGGGCGATCGGCTTTCGCAATGAAACGAACTGCCAGTCTTTTTGGATCAATCAAATTCTTTCCACCACTCCAAAGCTCTCAGGCGCATGATCCCTCCTACCAACTGAATCCATTCATTACGTTGACATTGTATCACCATCAAATCCTGGAACCTTCTGCGTTTTTTTGCAGCACGGTTTGACCGGGTCACTCGGCTTGTGAGCTGAGAAGTCTGACACGTGGCACGGGGCATCTGGGAGAAAGCTACGGGAGATCTTGATCATGAAGCTCTATCATCCTCTATCTACGCACAGGATGCGTCTCATGGATTTCCACCCTGGCACTTCAATTCAGGGTTTTCCCCAAAGCTTGTCTTCAGGAAGCATCGCCAAGACACTACACCTCAAGTATTTGTGGTTCGGTTTGTTTGTTTAAGTTTGTTTGAGTCATCCGTTTCTCAATGGATGGAGTTTATAGTTCAAGAAAAGTCGAAAGAACACCTGATTTGAAGACCTTCCTTTCCGGACCAGGTGTGACCGGGTGGTACCATGCAAGACCAAAAATCGAGGTGAGATCCCACAACTCAAACATACCCATGTGGCAACTGCTGGAACGTCCTCAGGCTCCTTAGAAGCGTCGATGCTGACGCTCTTTCAGCTCATGGCCTTTCCCAACATGGACCGGCCCCCGCGATGCCGAGATCGCCGGACGGACCCGCGTTTCGAGAATTCGTCGAGGAACGCGGGTCGGACAGCCGAGAGATGAAGGACGATCCGTCGTTTGGAGCTGGACCAAACCCAAACCAAGTGCTTCTGCGCTTCTAGTCTGCCACCACATGGTTTTCAACTCGGTGCAAAATAGGTCATAAGAGCCTGGTGTGGTTACAACTGGAGTGGTTACAACTGATTACCTGGTTACACCTGGTGTGTTTTGATATGTTTTGATCATAAGAGTGGTCCCGGACATCGACCTCTTGACCGGACACGTCCTCGCCACGAGGAGAGGTTTCA